TATACTTTTTTAAAAAAATCAAAATAATAAAATTTATAATTAAACTTTCAACATCATGATTATGTGTTAACAATATTCTCAAAGACCTGTGAAAAAATTATACAGAAATTAGTTAGATTAAAATTATAGATTAAATTATATATTATAAATTTTAAAAAATAAATATGTAGACATTTGATCTCATCATTGCTATCAACTTTTTTCATATTTTTGCAAACATTTGTCTTCCAAGTCTATATATTATTTTAGTCCAATAATGCCAATAGAAACTACATGATAATAAAATGAATGATTAGATAATTTAAATTAATAATTAAAATCAACAATAAAAAATAAAACAACTTTTATTAAATGAATAAAGTTTAATTATTTATTGCCTTATTGTTTGTATTTCAACCAACTTTATCTACACATAAGTGCTTCTAGAGTAAATTCACAGAGCCTAGAATGACGAGGACTCCAAAATTTACCTCCTATGCTAAATACAAATTTTGAAACTACGGTTGAATTTAGAATTACCAAAACATTTAACAATTTTTTTACAAAATAGGATACTTGATTCCATTTGTTTTCCACCATTCAAGAACGTCAAAAGTAGACAAAACTTTTTCTTTCAAGTATAACTATATTTCAGACATTGTTTATATTTCAATATTATCACTCACAAATAAATCATGATCACTAAAATAATTGCTAATATTTAGATTATCCAAGTTTGACTTATTGATGTTTGTTCCTGAAGTTGAACTTTCCACTATTCCCTTAACATTAGTTTAATACTCTTCAAACAATGAGTAACATAATTTCTTGATATTATTAATTTCAATTTGAAGATAAGCTACTATAAAGCTTAGGAAAAAAATACTCTGACAACTTCAACTTGTATCTTGTATCTAACATAATAACAATATTATTATATTAATTAATATATATTTATATATAATAAATAAACATATTATTAAGTAATTATATATATATATATATATATATATATATATATATATATATATATAATTGCAACGGGGGCAAGTTGGGTATCATAGTATTCGTACCCACACTCGCACCCACTAAATAAAGTGTCAAATAATTTTTAAATTTTTAAAAATTTATAGACTTTATCTATGTATTAAGAACTTTAAATTTAACGGTTGGATCATTGAAATTTAATGTAGAACATGATTTATCAAACAGTAGAGTAAACAAATCCTTTTCTCTCTCTCTCTCTCTCTCTCTCTCTCACACACACACACACACACACACACACACACACATATATATATATATATATATATATGTATATAAGAGAGTGAGAAAGAGAATGAATTTATTTACTCATGGAATAAGTTTAAATAGACTTATTCCACTCAATAACTTAAGTTTTACATAGATCAAGTTTACAAATTTTTAAAAATTTAAAAACTATTTAATACTTCATTTTATTAATTCAAAATGATGAATAATTATAAAAATATTTTATATGTTAATTTAAATTTATATGACAAAATATCATATGATTTTAATTTTTTAAAAAAATTGGTAGACTTGATATACATATTAAAAACTTTTAATTGAATGGTTAAATCACTCAAATTTGATATAAAATATGAGTTGTTAAGAATATTAAGTCCACTAATACTTACTTTTAGAGTGAGTAGATTTAATTTTTATTGTTTTTAAAAATTTATTAATTTAACAGTTAAATTATTAAAATTTAATATAAAGCGTGAATTATTAAGTAAAATAAAATGACGTTACTCTTAAAGTAAAATAAGCCTGAACTAAAAAATTCTTAAAAAAAAAAAAAAAAGACAGATGAAGAAGAAGAACCCGCAAGGAACTGATCGAGATCCCAGGTGGATGGTGATTGAAAACATATAACCCTTCTTGTAAACTAAAGCTTAAATTGGCTAAAGCGCCAACCACTTGGTTGGCTTTTCTGCAAACATGATTGCACTCTAATTCTTGGTTCATGTTTGTAGTCTCCACTTGGTAGTCTTCATTCAAGAATTTCACTACAAGAGATGGGTCGGACTCGCTCGTTAGGAATTTCCTTTATCAATCGAATTTCGTGAAGATAATATATTAATATCCTAGAGCTCTGTTTGGATAACTGAACATTGATCAAGATTACAAGAATAACCTAACATGAAGCCACCCAAGTAATTCAAATTTTATTTTATTTTTAATATTGTTTTATTCCTATATTTCATTTTCAAAAATATATTAAAAGAATAGTGAAAACATTTTTTTAAACAATTATACACTTTCCATTCCCATATACATGAATAAAGATAAGCCACACTATCGCACATGAATATATGACTATAAAATTTATATACAAATACTATATCTATACCACTCAGAAAAAATGCTATATCTATTATTTTAAATAGTTAAATACTCGATGTTATATTAGGGAAAAAGTGACATATGCTAAGTTTTTTTTTTTTTTTTTTTTCTTATTGTGTTCTAGAGGTGATTTGGAAGGAAGTATTTCGAAGAAGGAGAATTTTTCATGTTCCAGAATCATAAATCCTGAAAATTCTAATTTTTAGGAATGATTATTTGATTAATCATAAATATTATTTTGAAATATTTAGAAATATTACTTAAAATTAATGATTTTTACTGCCTTAACTTAATAAATTAAGGTAATGTGATATTTTTCTTAGAATAACTTTTAATTAAGGAGTGTTAGATTCTCACCTATCCCATAAAAATAATTTGATAAGAAATTTGTGCAAAAAACATTATCCAAAAATCATGTTTCCTAATAATGTCCTTTTTACATGATAAACAAATTAACATTCTTAACTTCAAATTCTTTTTAAAAAGTAAAAATATTTTGTATATCAAATACTTCTGAACATGATTTCCCATTTCAACCATATTTTCTCTATTCACAAGTTTTCAATTTGAGACTTTATTTAAAAAATTTAAGTTCAATTGTACTTGGAGTCTTGGACCAATGTAATGTTTATTTCTTAAACTAATTTATTATTTTTAATAGTTTATGATAAGTTTTTACCTTAATTGTGAAAAATAAATACGATTAAGTAAAACATAATTATTAATTTAAGTATTTAAATTGATAGGTTAGTTTTCCGAAACATTTAGTTAAAAGTATAAACAAAAAATAAAATGAAAAGTGGTATTAATGAATATAGTTAATCTGGTTAATTCATAGGATTATCTATTTTTTCTTATTGCTTTTAGGAGATTTAAGTAACTTCGTTATAATTGGTGTTTAAAAAAAGTAACTTGGTATAACTTTCAACTGATTTTTTCCTCAAATAAATTAATTTTAAAATATTAGAATGAAGGATGCTATTTGTTTTATTTTCTAAAATTTAATTAAAATTTCTATATATCTTCTTATTATGTTGGATTTTTATTTTTAGGTTATAAAAAAATTAGAATTTTAATGGATAAAGAAAACACCATAAAAAGCAAATATTAGGAGTGTAAGTCTTGCCTCTTTAAATGAGCTATTCGGTTCATATATAAAATGATAAGAAAAGAGAAAATTTGGAAACTTTTTCATTCAATTCTACTTTGTATACCCACCATCTAGGACTCATGCTCTCTTCCTCCGGTCTACCTTACAAGGAGGAATATTATGTGGACGCTCATGTGTCTTCAAGTGTCAATGAATTGTAATCCCAACGTTTTTCTTTTCCTAATTACATTTCAATCTCCTGTGTTTTTTGTATATTAAAATAGAAAAGTCAAAAATAATATCTCTTGTTTTCTTTGAATTTCAATTAAGATTATTTTTATTCATCAATCATATACTTCTTTTTTGGTTGTGTTGAGTTAATAAATCACCTTCAATTTTTGAGTGAGAAACGAAACTAAATCTCACGTTTTGATTTATTACATGTAACGACTCGTTACATTCATATATAAAAAGATCCTAAAAAGATAATTAATGTGAGCAAATAAGCACTTCAAAATGACTTGTATTTAGGCATACGGATACATTATTCGAAATGACAACACTACGAGCCTCAACAACGTTAACTTTATCCAATTTAGTAGCGTAGGGTTGTGACAAGCCAAGAGTTCTTGAAGTTTGAAATTAGTTTCATATTTAGCGCCTAAACCTAGCTACGAGTAATTCAAGAGGGGTATATGCATGTACATGTAGGCACATATATGATGTGCAGAGAAATCTGTAATCCCAGGGATATTACATTGCGTTCAATGTTACGCAACACGGAACTGGCTCATTTTAGAAATCAGTGTTCAAAATAGAACGAGCGACAGAGTTTGTTTGATTTAGGTCGGAGACGGAAATTGGACTGTAGTGAACAGTACTAACGCTAGTGTTTTGGCAGCCGCGCGTGAGTTGTCGGCATGTTTAGAAAGCATATATTATGAGTGTAGGCAGAGTAATTAAAATGTGATTAAGCAAAAAGATGCATGGTGCCCTAATTAAGTAAGTGGGGAGGTTGGTTCCGTGACGGAGAAAGACGGAAAGTAATTAGGGTCCCCACTCCCCACTCCCCACTCCCCACTCCCCACGGGGCACATGGGAGCGGCGTTGACGATGAAATGAGAAAGAGCACAAGACGTTTATGACAAAATCTGCAACACCTTTCGTTAATTTGGCAAAGAGCCTCCCATTTGAGGCAATGCAGCACCCCCCACCTTCCCTTTGCGTGATCTCTTTCCCTCATTTATTAATTTTCTATTCCCTATTCCCC